CAAACAGTAAAAAGTCATATGTTTGAACACAGTATTTAATTTTGAAAACATCACAACAGAATATTGACTTACTTGAAATCTACTGCTATATTCTGATGCTAATATGCTTTTTTAGACTTAGATGGAAAATGTTTTATTAGCTACTCGAATGCTTCTGTGAACCTAGCATATTTCTGGAACTGCTGCCCTGTCATGTATTCAGGAATACTGCATGTGTTAAACTTCAGCTTATTTACGTTTCAATGAATTGCTTTTTTCAGTTCAGACTATGAATATTTTCTCAGATAAGACATTTGTTTCCATTTATACAACTTACAATTCAGTAATAAACAACAGATGGAAAAACAACATCCAAATTCTCTTCTGTAAAACATCTTGCGAATGCCATCTCTTTGTTTTATAAAAACAGGCCAGTATCCAGTTCTATAAGCATCATTAAAAAGTATTGGTAATAACAATGGAGAAAGAATAGTGGAAATAACTGACTGCAGCTCAGTTAAGTGATATGAAATATAGTACTAGCTTCTGAATATCAGGCCAGAAGCTGTTTAGTTCCCAGGGAATCCTACCTCGTATGTTCAATACAAAGCTGGACTTTTCACACCTCTTTGCAGAGAATGGGTGGAGGTATGCAAGGGTCTTCTGGCAGAAAAAGGATGTAATAAATGAGCAGACCAATTTGTCTGACTGTACCTGCTCCCGGGGAAGAGGGGATCGCTGCTGCAGCCGGGGAGCGGGGTTGGTGCACGCTTGCTCTGGGCACCCAGCAGCAGCATGCCCGGCTGTCCTCGGCACGGATGCCTTGCTGGGACTGGGTGGCCTCCCCTCCCCAGCTGAAGGTCCTGGTGGGCTCTGCTGGCCTGGTGATGCTTGGATCTGCTGCTGGTGCCCCTGCTTGCGGCCTCAGCTCTCTGCCCCTGGGGACCTGCTGAAGCTGGCCATGCAAAGGATCTGTCTCACCTTGGGGCAATGCAATCCTGTTTCGCCTCTGCTGCGAAGAAGCCTTAATCCCCTACAGTGAAGGGCAGGAGCTGCAGCCTCTTCAGCTTACTGAGGACAGACTGGAAGACCATTTGGTTGTGGTGGGACAAGGAGTGTGAAATCGTGAAGCTCTTGAGCTTGTTGGTATGAAATGCAGCCGTTGGAGCCACCAGAGACTCGGGACAACTCGCTGTTGAAATGCCTCAGTTTGCCACAGAACAAAATGCAGCAGTTCAGCCCTGAGGGTAGGATGGCTTGATAACATAAATAATTTAAGCAACGGATATTTCGTTGTTTAACAACCACATATCTAAACTTGGTGTGGATTTTCTTTTGTTTGCTTTCATGTTTTGCGCTGTTAGCTGTTATTTACTGCGTGTTCTTGTGTTGGATGAAGACCTGGTTACCACAGGTGTAGTGTTGCTGCCTTTCAAAGGGTATTTTCAGCCCTACACTGTTCTAAGATACCAATTGCTTAGTGGAGGTTGGTCAGAGATATTAAAGGACAGAAGGGGAAATTTTTGCTTCTTACTACAAAGTTGTGGCTTGTTTCACCAAAGGCCAACATGAACAGTGTTTAGTAGCTCCAGTGCTGCTTTTCACCCTTTCCCCTCCTCCTGGGAGTCTCTGGGTGACAGCCCCAGCTGATCCTTGCCCTGCTGAGAGGAGGGCTTGCAAGAACCCCTGCTTCTCACGGGGTTTTGGGTGCCCTTGAGCAGCGTTGCTTGGTGGGAAGGAGAACTTCTGCAGCGCTGCAGTGCCTCCCGGTGGCTCCTCAGCCTGTGTCCCGAGATGTGCTGGAGCGAAACAAGCGGTGTGGTGTACACAGAGTATTTCTGCTCTTCCTTCCGTCCCAGCACGATGCCTGCGGCCGCCAGCACCAGCAGCAGGATGCGTCTCCATCCTTTGCCCCCAGACCCCTGCTGGGGTGGGTCGGTGCTGGGCTGGCTGTCCCTAGCCCAAGGTCCTGCTCCCGGCAGGCGTGGGTAACCGGGGCGTGATGAACCTGCTCCGGCGCGGAGCCCGTGTGCTTTTTCCAGCCCCTGGCTGCTATTTTGGGAAGCTGCTACTCTGTACCCCAGGGAAGATGTGACCCTTCTCAGTGTGTAAAAACACTGCAGTCATCACCGGATCAAGTTAGTGTCTATCTTTAACAGCGGGGCCACCCCGGCAGCGCGGGGGTTCTGTCGCTGCCAGGAGCACCCCTTGGTCCAGCCGGGCTGTGCATCAGTGGGGTCCCTGGATGCTGGGCAGGGGGGTCCCCAGGTGGGGCTGGTAGGGGCCACCAGTCCACCCTGGGCCAGGCAGAGACAGGTCCTGTGCCACCCTGGGGTCATCATCCATTGTCTGCTGCGTGTGTCCCCATCAGGCTCTGGGTACAAGAGCTGCTGAGACAATCAGTCTTGGAGAGCTGCGTGTAGTTCATGCAAATGACTTCCAAATTGTCACCCTATAAGGCAGCTAAAGGAGCGACTCCAGGCAGTGGTGGGGTGAGCGAGGTGGGGAGTGTCCCCACTGGTACGTATGGGTGGCCTGCGGGAGGGCAGGACAGCTGGCAGAAGACAGTGGCCATGTCTTAAAAACCTGCAAGGGTGTGTGTTACTCCAGAACCAGCAGAGAATTCAAATCATAGACGTGAAGTAAATGTAACAATTGAGACGTAAATGTAAGAAGTTTCCAGCACTCTTGCATTTCACTGACAAAGCTCCCAAATGAGAGTTCTCTCTCCAGAGTGTGGCAGAAGGGGCTTCTGCACTCCAGCATCAGGGCTGTGCCCGAGCTACTGAGCCTGCACTGGCAGGCAAGGGAAATCATTATTTTGCAATAAATCAGATACTAATAACTTTACCCAAATCGCTTCTGTTTTCTCTGGAAATAAATCCCATTGACAACAGCAGCCTTAAGCATGGATAAGAGGATTGTACTACAGTCTTTGATCAGTCGTGTGTTTAGGTCTTCTATTTTGGACTATAGTATCATGAAGGGCTGAGTCACAACTAGGTTATACTCAGTTATTTTGCAATTAGACTAGACAGTGCTTTTTTTTTTTTTTTCTGGACAGCCTAGCAAATGCTTTCTGCTTGGAAGCAGTTTATTTCCTGGTGTGTTTTCCTAAAGCACACCGTTTCCTAGGGCTCCTTTTGGGCAGAACTTGGCTGGCCTGGATGACTGTTTCACAGCGATGCTGTGAGTGCAGAGAGTGGAAATGCAGGAGGAGTGGAAGAGAGGTGAAGAGGCGTTGCTGTTACGAACAGATGTAAGCTATGAGCCCGTCTATTTCTTCCTTCCAAACCACAGCTTGAAAATTCAATCTGACATTGCAATACTTATTTTTAGCGAGGCTGATTTATTGAGCTGGCAGGTCAGAGTCCGAGCTAGTGCATGCAAATCTGTGCAGCATGCAGTGCCAGGCGATCCGGGCTGTGCTCGCTCCTGTCCTAGAGCACACGATCTGCGGGGCATGTGCAGGGGATGCGGGCTCTGGGCAGGGCTGTGCTCCGGCTGCTCTGCTTTCCATTGCAGCTTTAACCCTGGCTTTAGTCCACTGAAGTTCACATTAATTTTTTTCTTTCCTTATTTTCTGAAACACCAGTAGCTTTGAGTACATGAATGTGCAGGAAATAAGGAGGAGGGCACACTGCATGGCATTCTTGTTGGTACTCTCTATGCAGGAAAAGCAGCAAAATGGCGCTTGTTTGCCTTAAAAGCTGTGAGTAATGTAAGAGTACATGATGGAACAGCCAACTGGCAGCGGAGAGTGCTGGTACGGGGCTCTGAAAAGCAGCAGCAGTGTGGGAGGTGAACTTTGGGATGTAACATAAAGGGTAATTGCTGCATGGAATTGGTCTGGATTTTGATGTCCGTGTGTTTTGTTTGTCATCTCCCCATTCGAGAGGGACCTTGTGCTGTCTCAGCTGGTCCCTTTTACTGAAAGGGCGCTGATAAAACAGGCAGGGACTGGGAGATTGAAGGACTGCCCACTGTAGGAGAAGATCAGGTTCGAGACCATCTAAGCAGGCACACAAGGCCATGGGACCTGATGAGATGCCTCCACTGGTCCTGAAGGAACTGGTGGGTGAAGTTGCTAAGCCACTACAAGAAAGAAGGGAGGGTTA